GAAATTCTCTACAAAGTGAGCTGGTCAGAATATCCAGGCAGGTGGGACCAGTCATTAAAGATATGTACAAGAAGCGTTTGGGTGTTCTCTATGCAGCACAGTGTTTCGTAATCACAAGAACTCCTTTGTTTTTTATTTTTTGGTAAAAGCTGGAACTAATCGGAATACTGTTTTGAATAGTCCGAGGATTTTTCTATCAAATGAGGTCTACATCGCCGTTTCCTGAGAAAAGCTGATAATAGGGGAAATCGGACGATAAAACTGCGGAAAAATGTAAATCGCTTTTGTTGAACTGATGGCGAAAAACGAACAGTAATTTTTGTTTGAAAGACAGCAGAAGGAATTTTTGAGAGTGGGAAGTGTTGGGAAGTGAAAATGGAAGCATTTGCGATCATTCTGATTCAAAAACATATTCGGTCACACTGCCACATGATCATATGTATGTACGTCCGTCACACTGTCACACGACTATATGTATGTGCGTCTGTCACACTTCCACATGACTATGTATGTACGTCCGTCACATGCGGACGCCGACGCCGACATTTATTTCATAAGACCCTAGACTTTCAGTCAAGAGAATCATATGACCCTAGGCTTTCAGTCAAGGGAATGTATGGTAATTGACATTTTAAACACTGTATTATTTGTGCTGATGTTGTTTGTTAATCTGCAGATCAAATGGTAAAAAACAAATGGTATCAAAAACTTCTGAAGTTCTTTTCGTATAAATTTTCACTTTCATAATAAAAAACAGGATACATTGTATTTTCCTTGTATTAGCAAAAATATTTTGTTCTAAGAAAGCCTAAACAATATGACATAGCATGAACTCTAAAAGAAATATTATTTTCTTGCTTTAGATGTTGTGTTGCTAGCTTGATAAATAAATAATCTTTCGAAACACAGCGATTGATTGTCTTTGAAGAAGTACAAACAATTAGAAAAGAAAGTGAAGGTTGATATATCGAGTACTTTAAGGGGAAAAGAGTTACTCCACGAACTTTTCTGTGTAATTTCACTGTTTCTCATTCAGAATAATTTCATACTAACCAGAGTGATAGAACCGACTGTTCTCTACAACTACAAATAACGTTCATCATTCTGATTCACTTAAACGGAATCGTCAGTATCAAATTGTTTCTATAGAATAAAATAATTATCTTTCTTGTACACATTACATTCAAAAGAACAGCAGCAATGACATTTCCGATCACCACCGTTGCTCTTACAAGGGAAGAGATAAATGAGACGTATTCCTAATTCCTAAATTCTCATTTCTAAACACTTCCGTATTATGTCTTGGCGTGTGTGTTTGTGTCAACCAATAACTTTGTCTCTAACGGTGAGCCATATAGAAGGTCGGTCTCAATATTTCGTTAATATTTCGCTCAGTTTTCATTGTCAAGGCTTTAACTTTTTTTTTAAAATTCGTCGTTTCAGTCTCTACAAAAAACATATTGAACATTTTTTTATATATACGGCAGAAATAAAGGAAAAGAGGTGAAATACTGAAATACTGCGAAGCTTCAATTTTCATTACTTTCTAACCTAAAAGGTAGTTTTTCAGTTCTAGCTCTTTGTATTTTGCGATACAGAATAAGAGAAGATGACCGTTTTGTAGTCCTTGAAAAGCTCTACCAATTGGTTATGTTTAAAACTCTTCATAATCAAAATTCGTTGCGAAAGAAATTTTTGCTTATATCGAGTTATCAAAAATCGCTGTTTTCAAATCGTAGTTTTCATGGCATTTGCAAAACGTTTCGTAAATCGGCCAAAATCAAATATTTTGAGATCTGGTATGTCTTATGTTAAAGGAGATTAATTCTTCTGTTACATCCGAACAGAAGAGGTTTGATAGCTCCATTTCATTTCCATTGAAAAGGTGAAAAGGTGAAAATTTTCCTTTTTTCTGGTAGACTATAGTAAAATTGCATTTTATATCAGAAAAATAAGTTCAGAGACTAGATTCATGACAATAAAGACGACACTTCGTGGCACCAGCACATACGTTTTGATTCTAGTTTGTTACATAGCTCTATGTTCAAAATAAATATCTTTTTGTTGTGTTGTGGGTTAGAAAGTAATGGAAATTGAAGCTTCGGAGTACTTCAGTATTTCACCCCTCTTCGTTTATTTCTGCGGCATATAAAAAAATGTTAAATAACTAAAACGCCGAATTTTTAAGAAAAAGTTAAAGCCTTGACAATGAAAACTAAGCGAAATATTCGCAAAATACTGAGACCGACATTCTTTATGGCCTACCCGTTACGTACCAACACACAGGGGATAAGGTGTCGGAAATTCAAAATTCAGCCGCTGTTTTTGCTATTTATAGACATGGCTAGATAGAGCTCGTCGAGCTAATTCCGAATATGTGTGTTTCGGTCTTCCAAAAAGACTTTTTGAGGGTCAGAATTCGTAAAGGCCAGAAAATTCTGAAGTTCGAAAACTGCCTTATTTCGCTCGACCATAGTGAAAACCATAGCACTGGCTACAAAAGCGAATAAAGTTTTTTTATTAGAGATGGAGCCGATTTTTATATCAGCAGGCTTGCGATATAGCCAGGATTTTGTCGCTTATGTATTAGAAAATGCCATATCTCAGTATTAAAAGCAAATTACGCAAAAAAAATGCTGAGCATTTTCCTATCTATATGACGGGTTTGCTCAAATAAAAAAATCGGCTTCATCTCTAATAATAAAAAATTGATTCGCTTTGTAGCCAGCGATGAAGGTTTTCACTATGGTCGACGGACTAAAATTTTTCACAGTCATAAGATATTAGAAAAAAATTGTAACTATTTTGACTAACACACACACATTCGGAATCAGCTAGACGAGCTCTATGCATCCATATATATATATATATATAAATCGAAGAAAAAAGTAGTTGAATTTTGATTTCCCACACCGACAATCCCAGGTGGAGATTTCCACGTCCTTAGTACTACTGGTAACTTCAACTAACTCGAACTGTTTCTTACATGTTACAGTCATTAGAGTCTCTATATTGGCTGTATTTAAGGGGGGGAGGTGTCCTCCCCCTTAACATACCCTCAAACTTTGCCAGTTTGTAGAGAATACCTTCAATGGTATACCTATGTAATAAAAAAAATTTAGTCTAGGACTGACCGAGTTATTAATTAATTAAGTTCAACATTAATTGAAGTTTTTAGGCTGAGAGGCATTTTTTAGAAATTTTCTCGTTTTTTATATAGATGCTACATTCAGTTGATCCTAATGTAGTGTTTTAGAGAATTGTTTGCAGATATAATTCCATGCAAAAAAAAGTTATAAATGTCTTCTCTGAGTACCGTTTAATTATTAATTTGCCTTAGTTATCACTAATTAGTAACACTTCAATGTAAAAAATTAATTTTCCCAATGTCAGAACAAGTCGAAGGAAATCATGCACTGTATCATTCGATAGAGCTTGAAAAGCTATCGATTGTCCGATTCACTTTTCTTTATTTTTTATTTTTTTTGAAAAAAAATCCGTTTGAAATCATTTATGATGTCAAAAAACCGACTATTTCTCCGTTTATTAGCGAAAAATTCACTATTTGAATTCAAAAGACGTGTATCAAGGGATTTTCTTGTATGGAAAATGTTGTCGTGATGTTGCCTTGTATGTCTGTGCTATCTTAATTAGTAATTAGCACTTACGTCGCAAAAAAGTATATTCATTTATCCATGAGTAATAACTTAACCTTTTTCGTAATTAAAAGAAGGCTGTATTTTTGTTGAACATGCTTTGCTCAATGTCCATATTGTAGATTTTATAATAGATTTATAAAATGTCTGATGAAAGTTATTCACCTGAATCTGATTTATCCGTTAACAATGATCAGGATAATCCAGAATGTTCTCCATTGAAAAAGTACAATCTTAGGACAACAGGAGTGAAATGTAAACGTCGATATTCAACTGGAGGAGAAATTATATCAGCCTCAATAAATCGTTCAAGGTTCCCATCAAGATTTCGTTCATATTCAGCATCAGATTCACATAGACCAGGTTCTGTATCAGGTTCTCCACAATATCGATCACGTTCAGAAACAAAATTATCATCTTCAATGACAAGGTAAGAGTTGTGTTTGGAACAAAAAATTTTTTTATGTAAAATGAATGACATATTAATTGAAGCTGTTATTTCACACAATTATATTTTATTGTTTATTTTCAGAGTAAAACAGTTGCAATGCATTAAGAAAACTGTTCAAATGATTGATGTTGGACATTTACAGGAGCAACTAAATACAGCCCATGTTTGCCCAGGTGCAAGATTAAAATTTATTCCTGATACAGATACTGCCGTTGGTTTATTTCATCGGAACAGTTTAGAATGTTCAAAATGTCATAAACATACCGATGCACCAAACTTTCCACCTAAATATCCAATTGAATCAACAGTGCACGAATCGAATGCACGTTTGTATGCTGTATCTGCTGCAACTGATCTTGGCTATGAAGCAATTAGTACTCTCATGTCATCGTTATGCTTATCAATAACTACAAAAAAACATTTTATTGAACAGACACATAAAGTATATTCTACTTTGCATGAATTTGCACAAAAGAAATTTCACTTATTAATCAACAATATTAGACAGTCGGCGAATATTCACGACTTAGATTCAATTTTGAATGTTTATGCTTCACTTGATGGTACATGGAAACGTCGTGGTCATATATCAAATTATGGGATTGTTTTTCTTATACATGTAGAAATTGGCTATTGTATTGATTACGAAGTTCTTAGTTTACGTTGTGAAACATGTGATGCAAAAAAATCCCAGCTAACTATGTCCCAACTAGCCGAAGGTGCCTCAAGAATTTTTCAACG